CAAATCTATATGCACATTCATCAGTCGAAAAACACCCAACAAAGTTGTCAGATTTAATTTTCAAGCACTGGGATTAATTATAAAAATTACGTGACTTAAGAAATATTTTCTGATCCCAATGAAAATTCCAATGTATTACATGGATATGCAAATGTTCTATATTCAAAAGGAATGTTTGGGTATCCAGAATAAAGTATGTTCCATATGAACAACCAGAACCAGAAAACACAAGGTGCTATAAAAGGAAAATAAAGCCATATAAAGGAAAGAATATGTGACCCATTGTGGGGTATTATTGGATTCCAATGCCCCTCTCCACTCCTACCAATGGAAGAAATCTTGATTTTGTTCAAATGGAGCCAGACTACTGATAAGCAGCACATATCACATCTGCTTTGCTGAATCATGATTCGCTGAAATGCAGCACAATACTTTTTTTGTCTAATGTGTTTACTTTAGTAGGCACCAACAAAAATCCATTGGCAAAAAACAACAGATTTCTTGGGAAGTTTTTCATTTTTTGTTTTAAAAAGGTGTGACAAATTCCTGAAATTTGGGATGTTTAGAACTGTGCAGGTAATAATGTCATGCAACGTCAACATTACAGGTCATATTCTGCAACAAAGCAGGATTCTGGCTGCATCTGCACTGCAGAAATAATCCAGTTTGACATCACTTTAACTGCCATAGCTCAGTGCTATGAATTCTGGGAACTGTAGTTTTGTGAAACATTTAGCCTTCTCTGTCAGAGTTCTGGTGCCACAACAAATTATAGCTCCCAGAAGCCCACGCTTTCACCCATGGCAGTTAAAGTGGTGCCAAACTGCATTATTTCTGCAGTGCCAGTGCAGTCTCTGTGAGACTAAAATGTCCTATTCTAGTGCATGGCAGTTAATTAGCTTTCATATTTCTTCTGCTTCTAGCATAATGCTCCTCACTGAGTAAGGTGTGCCTCCAAGGAAAATCCCAAGAGACATCCTCTGACCACTTCCAAACTCTTCCACTTTGGAGTTCAATCCTTTTAAAGAAATGCATAAAACATTTACTCATGCCAGCAAAGAAGTTTCTGCAGTACTTCCATTTGCACAAAGGGTGGAATGAATTAAAAACAAACACCCAGCTATCCACAGTGCTATAAAGCAACCTTCCTTAATCTGACAACTTCCAGTGTTTTGCACTGTAAGTCCGACCATGATTATCTGGTTAGGCAACACTGCTATAAAGAAATACAGTGGGCCTGCCTTATCCATGGGCTCCAGGACCATGGATTTAACCAACCACAGATGAAAAATGCAGTGATATTGGGCAGGGCAGGTGGAGGAATTATAGATCTAGTGGAACCAGGCCAAGAGAAGGATCCATGGCAGCAGAGGCAAGTCCCAACCACCAGGTGCACATTCTTCAGTCTCCTCTGCCTCCAGGGAGCCCTAGCCATTGCTGCTGACTTGCAAATGAACAAGCAGGAGTGCCAGAGCCAACATCTTGAAGGTAGAAGTAGGCAGCTGGTGGACTCCCTGAAGGTGAGGGAGCCTAAAGAGAGCTGAGAGCTGGGGCTCGTTGCCACATTCCACTACTGCCCTATATCATTTTATATCTGTAGACTTCAGCATGAGTTTTTTTGGTATCTGCATGGGAGCTGGAAACAAGTGCCCATGGATATGGCTAACCAACTGCAATTGTATTTTAAGTTTGTCATGTTTTGGGTTTTTATTTTAGAACTCAAGATATTTAAACCATGGATTTAAAAAGTATTTAACTCTTACAAAGCATCCAACATTGTTCTGCATGCTGTACAGATATTGACATCTAAGACAGTCCTTTGTTGAACGTCACATAAGAATAGCATTTATTTCTTCTCTAGCCAACGAATGGGGCCAGGTTGGTCTGACTCCTTATAGTTGTTTCAAGCAAGGATCCAAGGAGGGATGAAGCCACCTCCCTGCAATTGCTCCTACAATGGCCACAGTAAGAAGCCAGGTTGGTCATCCCCAGCTTTTGTCCTGGGAGAGAAACCAGCCTGTTCTCTTGGCCAATGGATGAGAACAGAGCATTTATATTGTATGTTGTATAAGACTAAAGCTAAATCACAGGGTATCCTTGGCTTTAATTAACTTAAATCCAAACATTCCAGAACAAAGACCACTTACTCAAGACTATTGCTATCTCTTCCTCACTGCAACGTCCCATAACTCCTCTCTGGTGAGGTGGTGGTCATGAAAATCTTTAGTCTTATGGAGTGCTAGGAGCTACAGTTCCACTTGTACAAGTCCATCTCCAAGCCTTTCACTGCAGATTGGCAACATTACTTGTAAATTGCTTGCGCAAGTTTTACTACAGCTAGTAAATCCTCATGAGTACACACTCAACAGAAAAAAGATCTCTTCATAGCTGTCCCATATTTGAGCTAATTTCTTTTGCCCATAGTAAAAACTGAATAAAAATGGATTACATTTTTGCATTTTTCATGCTTTCTGTTTAGATGTTAGTGGACTGTCATGGACATCAATTTGAACATATATCTTATAGCACAAAGAACAGCATACCCAGAAATAACACCTACATCATTAGAAAGGGCATACAATACACATTAGACTGGGGATGTGGTCATTTAATATTGTTGCACACTTAACTTTCCTGACAACATAACCAAAAATTACACATAGAACAGATGTGTATGAAGGTTTAATGTTATATAACACTGAACAATAGACAAGGGAATTTAGGAAGGCAGAAAGGACTTTTCAACACCAAAACAAATGTATAGGACCAGATTATATTGTTACATGTAAAATAAATCCAAAATGTCTTACTAAAATTAAAGGAAAATCTGGACGTTACTGCATGGCACTCAATCTTGCAATATAATCAAAGTATGAGAACAACAAAGTAACAAAATATAAAATGGAACAGTGTAAGAAAACCTGATTCCAGACTTTTTATGTTGCACAAGCTGTTTCAGCAACTGATGCCTCATTCATTTCAAGGGAGAATGGTTTCAGTCTTGTATGCTTTAACTGCAATGTCTTGTTTAAATTTGTAACCTACCTTGAGTCCCAGTTTTGGGAGGAAAGGTTTGGTATAAATAGGTAATTACAGTACATTATTATCTAAAAAATGAATAAATAAAAACCCCTTTGTAACTGCTGATGAAAAATGAGAATTTTATGGCTGATATAATTATTTTTTTCCACTAGGTGGCTCTAAACATGTTTTCTCATGTTCAACAGCTAACACAAACCTCCTTTGTGGGCCACATGTGCAGTGAGGGACCAACAGGACAGGAGTGGGGAATGAGTGGCTCTCCAGATGCTAGACTGCAACTCCCATAAGGTGTGACTATTTGGATGCTGCTGCGTTGCAAATCCCATCAGCCCTATCCCTCAAACCGAAAAGTGAAGAGTGATGGAAACTGTAGTCCAACAGTATCTAGCAGGCCATTCTTCTCCATTCCCACGAGGGAGCTTATCACTTCTGTTTTCTCCCCTTCCCCTTCCTTTGTCTGGTCTACAGGCAGGCAGCAGAGAAATGTAGCCTGGAGAAGGAGAGGCCCCTGCTGCTCTTCCACACCTGCAGCCAACAGTTCCACTCTGGCTAAGCAAGCTGTATGAACTCTAAGAACGTGGTACAGGAACATGTTCAAGCTGATATGAACTAGTTATTTCACAATGTTATTCATGCACTAGGGGAAAAAAAGAAAAGTAAACAAGGACTTAAAATGTTTTATTCCTTTTGTTATAGAAGCCAGTAGGGTGAGTCCTGACAAACCTGAAGCAAGAAAAGAGTTAAGGGAAAGGAACTGACTCAACAATCAGTACGTTTCCAAGATATGCAGGAAGAACACTGAGTTTCAAAAACAATACTTCAAGACCTCTCCTGGCACTCATGTGTATAGCCTTTGTGTTACCTCATCATAGTGACAGGAAAGAGTAGCAGTAAGGAATATACCTTACTTGTCCAAGCAGAGTTACATTTGCTATGACTGATGCCAAACAGCAGGGAAAAAGAAAGGCTCACCATGGAGAACATCCTAGTCCAGAGGTAGACAACCTTTCCCCTTTAAGGGCCGAGGGACTTCAGCTCCCAGAAGCCTCAGCCATGTTGACCAATAGTCCCACGTTGGCCAATAGCTCCTGGGATTCTGGGAGCTGAAGTCCCTCGGCCCTTAAAGGGGAAAGGTTGCCTACCCCTGTCCTAGTCAGTGCTTCCCAACACAAAGCAATCTCCCCCTCCCCCCATCATGCCTGGGACTAGTATTAGTGTCCATTGACTACAATCAGTTGTTTCTTGCTTGGAAACTCACCAGGTACTGGCAGCCAAAGTCTTGTGGGATAGCACCAATCCATGGACCACCACTCTTCAGTAGAACTTGTGCAAGTATTCCTCCAAGCCCAATTCAATTTCCTCTCCTGAGATACATTAAGCAAATAATCCCTGTCACCTGTGAAAATTTCTGCAAGCATTGCCACTTGCTTCATTTAAAGTAATTATATTTTCAAAAAATTATTACAGCTGAATAAAGTCACTTGCCTACCTTACTGGGCCCGCACAGAGGGTAATGTTACAAGGAGAGTGGCTGATAAAGATTTAAGCATATTTTGAGTGCCTACAAATCAGATATTTGTATTTAAAAAAAAACTCATGAACCATTATGTCAGTTTACATTTCCATAAATGTGGAATGATGCAGCACTATATGTCAATATAGTGCTGCATCATTCCACATTTATGGAAATGTAAATACGTAACATCTGATACACAGATAAGTTTACTGTTTCTTGCACTAATATAGTGAAATATATCTTTAGACATATTTATAGCAGAATGACATTTTTATGAATAAAATCTTACAAGAGGTTTTAAAAAACATGTCTGAAAACCTCTTAAATCACTTTTAAGTTATTTACTTAATGTAAGTAATTCTGGTAGATTAGCATTGTTTTGTAACATTGTTTTAGGACCATGTCCAACATTAATTTCTAATCAGTATTTCAACAGATGATAGCCTGCGTGGTGTAGTGGTTTGAGTGCTGGACTACAACTCTGGAGACCTGGGTTCGATTCCCCACTCAGGCATGAAACCCACAGGGGGACTTTGGGCAAGTCACATGCTCTCAGCCTCAGGGGAAGGAAATGGCAATCCTGCTCTGAACAAATCTTGCCAAGAAAACCCCATGATAGGGTCGCCATAAACTGGAATTGACTTGAAGGCATACAACAACACAAACAAGTTCACCATAGAATCACTGCTTTCTGGAGTGGAGAGACTTCTGAAGAAACTGGAGGATCCAAAGTGAACTGAGACTGCAGTTCAGCAATATAAAATATTCTAGGCTTTATTCCTGTAGGAATTTTAGCTTTCCTCTCTATATCTGGAAAAGGTCTCTTTTCTGCTTAATTTGTCTGCCCAAGATTCCACTGTTAGTTTATTCAAACAAAGTTTTCTCCTGTGCTCATATGGACTTCAAAATGTAAGAGCAGATCCTCCAGAACCAAGTCGAGCATCAGCTGGAATATGAAGCAATGAACAAGCCTATAAAGAAAAAGATAAACCTCTAGTATTTATTTTTAAAATTACATTCCTATTATACATCATCTCTGTCTGTCCCTCAGCTATGATAGATTACTGTTATATAATTTCACTTCAAAGATATACCATGAGTGGCAAGCAATATTATTTGAGGGAAAGTGTACCCATTCAACATTACTTCCCCTCCTCCTCTTTCCCCTTGCACCTCTCACCTCCCGATCTGCTCAAGAGGGCCTCAACCCTCCGGAGGTGACTATTCCACTGGCAGACACATACTCTTGAATACAACCCTATGGATACATTTTTTGGTTCCAACATTAAAATTGTCTACCAACCTGTTTAAATCGCCCTCTAATTTTCTCTAGGTCTTCTTGAAGTCTTTCATATACTGGATCCTCACAGGGAAATTTCTCAATAATCTCTATTAAGGACTCCAGGACTTTTGTCTTTTTACTGAGAAACATAAAGACATCATATATAGTGAGTGAAATAAGTTATTTCATGCTAAAAATGAAGGCCCACTGAAAAGTATACATTGATGTTTTGATTTAATACGTATACTGATTTAGTACACATACTGATGTTTTGAAATACTAGCTTTAGCCATATTTAGAAAGTTTTACTTTTATTCATCTTCTTTTCATATTGATATGGTAGACAATTCATAAAGCAAAAACTACACTGCACCTCCCAGAAATTTCCCAACTTATATGGAAATCTCTTACACATGATCCATTATCATTTGGAATCAATAACATCTGTGAATGAAAAACATGTGACTCAGGATAAGAATACCTAGAGTCTAACCTAGCACTGCCCATTCCTGTTGGACGGCAATTAACTAAGGGTGGTTCATGTGGCACTCTCAAGGTTGTTAGACTGCAATGCCCACCATTCTCACATAGAGTTGTGCTGGTTAGGACTGCCTGGAATTGCAGTCCAACCACATCCAATTAAAAAGTATTATTATTATGAAGTATTTATACCCTGTTCTTCAGCCAAAAGGCTATCAGAGCGGCTTACAAATAGTTAATTAGACATTTCCCTGCCTCAGGCTTACAATCTAAGTAAGATCTCCCTAATCCATAGTGTTCCTTTTCACACCTATTAGAGCAGCATCAAATACAGTCATGCTAATCTAGAACCATGTCATAATGATCCATCAGAAAACCTGCTCCTCTGAAATATCAATTTCTGTGTAATATACATACATACTAGTTCTCAACAGTCTCTCTTCAGTGGATAAGACCATACTTGAGAGCTATTAATCTATTAAAAATTACTCAATTAAAATATTTGGGCCAATTAGTGGAGTATTTTTATTATGCTATTCTTCAGCCATCTCCTCCGCCCTTTTCCTCCCCCTATAAAACATGCACCTGGCTAGACTACCTCAACATGTTTGGAATACTATGAAAGCAACTTCCAATAAATACCACATGCAGGTGGTTCTAGCTACTCTTCTGCTAAAGTAAAAGAACCATGGTTTGACAGAGATAGCAAAGATGAGTGTACACCTTGTACAATTAGAAGCATGCTTCAGGTTTTCTTTCTTTTATTTGCCCAAAGACCTTAGGTATGAAATAAAGCCTTCCTGGATATGGAGCAGACTGTCCATGTCACTTCCAGATCCAATCTAAGCAAGCTTATTTATAGTGCTTAATCAGCTGATTAGCTAAACCCCTGATAGTAATCATCCAAAATTTCTTAAATCTTGCGATATCTACAGAAATTTCCTGTTGTCTAAAAGGGGACAAACTACGACAAACTGTTTCTTAGGCTACTTTTGCATTGCAGAAATAATGCAATTTGACATTTCAACTGCTATGGCTCAGTGGTATGGAATCCTGGGATTTGGAGTTTATTGTGGTACCAGAGCTCTCCGACAGCGAAGGCTAAATAGCTTACAAAACTACAAATCCCAGAATTTCATAGTACTGAACCATGGCAGTTAAAGCAGGGTCAAACAGCATTATTTTTGCAGTGAGGATGCAGCCTAAGAAAAATTAAGGCTGCAGCCACACTGCAGAAACAATCCAGTTTGACACGACTTTAGGGACCATGGCTTAGTGCTATGGAATTCTGGGAGTTCTGTGAGATATAGTGTTCTCTCGTTAGAGAGCTCTTGGGCCACAATGAACTACAAATCCCAGGATTCCATAGGATGGTGCCATTGACATTAAAGTGGTATCAGACTGGTTTATTTCTGCAGTGCAGATGAAGCCTAAGAAAGATTTTTGAGAAATTCTAAGAACAAACAAAATCTGAACAAAAATGCTGCAGGCTTACATCCTCTACCTGAATGTGAAACTACACTATTCCGGAATAAAATAAAATAAAATAGTCTTATAAACAAAGGGTTTTAGCATCAGATTCTCACTAAATGCTTGCTATTTTAAAAATAGTTTTAAGATGTGGACCGTTCAGCATTAGGTTCAGCACATACAATTTATTCTATTAACACACAACTGTAGGTATGGCTGTTTATGTACAAGAAAAGCAATTGAATTATTAATTTTCTGCCACTGAAGGCAGACAATGGTCATAGGCTATGGTCATATCTTATGGGTGCGGTTCCTTTCACCCTCCAGATGTTTTAGATCACAACTTTCATAATCGCTTACTTCTAGTCATGCTAAGTGGAGCTGGTGGGAGTCGCAACTTTTGGAGGACCAGAGACTCCCCATTCCTGTCTTAGGTCATATGTTTTACATTTCCAATTCTGTATCTGGTGCAAGAAGACTAAAATGTGATTTCATTGTGTTTTCAAAACACAGCTTGCTAAAAGAGGCTTTGCAGTTGCAATGTACAAGTAAATACCCCTATTTAGCAATCTGGCACCAGCTAGAACAGAGAGGTATCCATCTGCCAGGCAGTGAGCCCAGAAATACTTGTCTATGAAAAGCACCAATATTCTTCCACACATGACCTCATCTCTCACTGTCTACCAATGGAATTCAGCCAATTAAGAATCACCCCTGTATCTGGAGGAGAAATGGAAACTGCTTCCACGTGCTATTATTGGCAGTCATCTCCAAGCACCCAAAGTATGTCCTAGTAGTTCAAGCAGACCCCTCCCCCCCACCTCAGGGTATATGTTACAGAAAGGGGAGAGAAAACTTAACTTAGATCCTCTTGTTCAAGAAGCCAAAACCATCTACAGTGATAATACCAGTTCAAGCAAGCACAGCCCACAGTGACCAATGAAGCTCAAATGAATAACACTGCTGAGTTTTTCTTAAATATCTGGGGAGTGAAGTTTTCTGTAACATGGTTCCAAATGCCTAGCCTTAACACAGTTTTGCTGGAACGACCAACAAAGACTTATGATGCTGAGCTGGCACAGCACCAGGGCAATCATCCTTAGATCTTAAATCCAAGTGGAAGAAAGAATAGGTAAAAATAGGCTGCCCATTTCCACCTATCTTTGCCACCATCTTTACTGTAGCTCTCAGGCTGTCACTGTCTTTACCCTTACTTTATTTACTTACATTCTCTCCCTTCTGCTACAAGTATATTTTTCTCCCCTTAATCCAAAGGAAAATCATAAATCTGAGAAACTAACCCACAAAAAGTGATGTAATTGGGATTTGAAACATAAACAGAGGAAACAATTTGTCCACCTACCATTTTCATACCCTCTGCAGTTTCTAGAGCTACCTTCCTTACAGAATGTCCCCCAACCCTCCAAAGTAAGTTTTCTGAAAGTACAGGAGGCTATAAGGAAAGACAATAGAGACTGTACATAAATCACTTTCTCCACCGCATCAAAAGGAGCACTTACATGCCCTGGATCAGAAGCCTAAGCCATAGGTGAACAAGTCTGCATCTGACCCATTATGTACATGTGTGTATGTGTGTGTGTATACACCTACCTGTGCTTTTCATCTGAGCTTGTATGAAGCAATTTCTTCCATGTTACTGCAAAACCAAGATATGACCCAATCTATAATTTGAAAAAGAGACATATTTTCTTCTTATGTTAACGATATTATTTCCTCACAAATAGCAGCAGCTATGTATGTAAAACAGTGCCTAAGGAAATTGTTACACAAAGCTTCAAACATTTAACTCAGTATAAATGAATGTGTCTAGATACTGAGATTGGTACTGCCATATACATTTTCCATACAACCTCAATATGAGCTATAGAAGTGAAGTTTACCATATATACTCGATCATAAGTTGACCTCATGTATAAGTCGAGGGCCGGTTTTGGGGGCAAAAGGAGAGAAGATCTTGGTATGACCCATGGATTAGTCAAGGGTAAAGTTCCCTTCCTCCAGCCAATCCACCATCATCTGGCCTCAGAGGGAGAGAAGGGCAGGCCAGCTTCATCAAGCCTAGCCCGAAGTAAGAAGAAGAGCCTTCCATCCATCTAACAGAAGGAGAGAAGAACCACTGAACTTGATTCTTTCTCCACTGCCATTCCTTTCTCCTTTTGTGTCATTGTCTTTTTAGATTGTATGCCTGAGGGCAGGGAAGTGTCTAATTAAAAAAAAGTAAGCCACTCTGAGAGCCTTTGTGGCTGAAGAGTGGGGAATAA